TACGGCATGCACGACTATGAGTACACCCCCCCCCCTTCCCCCCTGTTCGCAAAATTTGAATAGGTTGGCGTCGCGTGGCACCGACGCTGTAAAGCAAGCCACCAGACCCTAGACATGAAATAATTGAACTAACCAAATTTTTATTTTTCCCATACCGTAACACAAACCCGCCAAGCCAGACATGAAAGAGCTGAACTAACCGACCTTTTATTTTCCCATACTGTAACACAAACCTGACAAGCCAGATATGAAATAATTGACCTAACCGACTTTTTATTTCCCATAACGTAACACAAACATGACAAGCCAGATATGAAATAATTGAATTCAACGAAATACATTTCCAGACGCTTGACCATTTTTCTTTCTTTTCTTTTTTTTTTTCCACAGTTGAAAATGCAATAGTAGAAGGTTATTTATTGGCCACTTTACACACCAACACGAAAACGGAAACGAAGCATAAATATAGACACAGCAATCCTTTTGGTCAAATGTGCGATGCACATGAAGGTTGGGGACTCGTGGTGAGATAACCGTAAAACAATACCGGTTCCCATTGGGCGGTGGGAATCTGGTCAGACACTATCCTAAATTCTCCGCAAGGAGAAGGGTGGATAATGCAAGACAAAATGTCAGACCTGACATACTCAAGAACCTTGTTTTCAAATGACCGACCAAATGACCCAAAAGAGAAGGAGCACCAAGCGGTACGTAGATATCTTGAAGCTTGAAGGATAGACGCCGGTACAAAGTGTGGGGGGATTGTTGGTCAAGCTTTCGGCAGCGAAGGTCTACTCGGGAGCGTTAAGTGGGGTAGCTACCCATGGTGTACCGTACAAACGTTGATGACCGTAACTCATTTATCAACCCTGGGTCGACTTAGACCGCCATCAGGGAAGATAGTGCTCTCTGGCGTCTACGAGGAGGAGATTTTTATGTTTGTATGTCATAAAAATCAAGGAAGAGACGGACATCCCGATGTGTGAGTGAGACCTTCTGTTATGCAAGCCACCCTTGAACCTTATATGGGGAAAATGACCTCCCCGGAGGAAAGTACCCAGTACAGCAGCTGGGGCAAGTTGAGAGAAGAAACGGTCATGGGACGCTTGGGTTGGTTACCATGCAGATCGCCTGGCACAAACTTGGGGTACTTGTGCTAAGGGAGTTGAACTTGGCTCCAGGCTATGAGCCCGTGTTGGAGGCAATTTTTAGTGTCGGTGAGCCGGCAAAAAGAAATGAAAGACACCAGACCCTCAACAAGTACTAGGATTGGGAAGTCCCAGTAATTTGAAAGCATCCCACTTCAAACACAAACAACGAGATAGTCTCGAAAGAGATAGGGAGGGAGACGACGAGGCACAAAGGGTGGAGAAGGAGAGAATGGAAAGGTGCAGTACTGGTAGTGTTGATATTTGGGGTCAATAGCGAAATGACAAGGTTGGAGTTCAAAAGTAGATGTGAAGAAGTAGGATTATATTGCTTCGCAAGGGGGGGGGTAGAAAGGGAAGGAAACCACTTTAGAATCACGTTTGGAAGGAGAGTAAGCGCAGAATGGGAAATACTAGAAGTAGAGAAGGTGTCGGCGTGGGTGAGGAGACTAGGTTGGAGGGTGTGCATAGCAAATAGGACCCAGGAAGTAAGGCGTAGCCCAAGGCTGGCTGAAAACAAAGGGGGGGCAGGAGGTTCGAAAGGGGTCAAAAGGGAAAGCAAGCCAAAGTAGGGGAAGGGGGGGCAGCGAAAGGATAAGGCAGAAGGGAAGGCAAATGAGGGACAGAAGGAATCCTGAAAGGCACGGGAAAGTAGAAAGTACGAGTAAGGAAATCAGAATAGGGTCTTGGAATGTATGCGGGTTTGCCACAGATGAGCGTAAAAGACTCGAAATTGCCGAGCAAGCAGCCGAAAAAGACCTGGACGTAGTCGGAGTCCAAGAGTCGTGGGAGAAGGACGGGGGAGAAATAGGAAAAGAAGTGGGAAGCTACACATGGATAGGTAAAATGAGGAGAGGACAGAAAATCAAGAGTAGAGGGGAGGGGGGAGTTGGATTCTTAGTCAAGGAGCACATGTGCGACGTAATTGAGGTGGTCAGCGACACCAAATTCAACGAAAGCATGTGGATAAGGGTACCAGGGGAACGGGGAAGGAAGGACTTGTTCGTAGGAAATGTATATATGCCACCAGAGTCGAAGAATATGGTGAAGGACAGCTGGATAGGGTTCGAGGAGGTAGCAGCGGATGTACAAAACTTCAAGAGAAAGGGAGAAGTAGTTCTAGTTGGGGACTTCAATTCAAGAATCGGGCGAACCACGAACCCACACGGAGCCATAGGGCAACACGGGGAGGGAGCCACGAACAAAAACGGGGAAGAAATGCTGAGGTTCCTTGACAGTAGCGAGATGAAGGTGTTGAACGGTAGAGTACGAAAGACAGAACCGGAATGGACTAGGCAGTGTTTCAAAAAAGGAGAACGCTCCATCCTTGACTACATAGTCGTAGAGAATGGGGGGAAAGAGACGGAATTACGAGTATGCACAACGGATGTAGGCACTACAGACCACGCGTTGGTGTGGACAGCCCTACAACAGACGAGAGTCATACAGAGTAGGCGACGCAGGAAAATGTACAGATGGAGAATAGATAAGCTAGAAGTAGAAGAAACGAGGGTAGAGTTCCAAGAAGAGATGGCTATAAACGACAAGAAACTCTCGGAGTTGATAGAGGCAACGGGCACACCGAAGGATGCCGAAGGCCGGGACCAGGCCGGGTCTAGAATCATAGAAGGGTGGGAAGAGCTGGTAAACACAACAGCAAGCAGAGTTCTAGGTAGAAAGTTGATAGTTTGTAAGAGAGCAGTGAAGTGGTGGGACGAAGAAATCAAGCAAGCAATTCGAGTACGTAGAGAGTCACACGCAAAATATGCGGCAGGGAAAACAGACGCAGGATGGAAGGAGTATGTTGAAAGTAGAAAGAGGGTGAAGGAGTTGGTCGTGAAGAAGAAAGGGTTGTGGGAGGAAGTAGTCCAAAAGACTAACGAAGATTTTGAGGGGGGGATGAAGCGAATGTGGGTAGGAATTCAAGGAATAGTGGGCAAGAAAAGAGGGGGAGACACGGAAATAACGACACTAAGATCTGCCGAGGGTAAGATGGTAAGCAGTCTAAAGGAAAGAGGGAAGTACTAGTAGAGCACTACCGCAAACTTGGGACACCCACCACCAACGACAACTTCGACTCGGAGTTTGAGAAGGAAATCAACTCGTGGGCAGAGGAAAACGTTGAAAGATCTCGGAGGGAACGTAGTGATGTAGACGGGTTGCAGGGAGACTTCACACGAGAAGAGGTAGAGGACTGCGTAGCAAAACTCAAGAATAGAAAAGCGGCAGGGGCTGATGGAATTGTGAATGAGCTTTTGAAACAGGGGGGGGAGGGGATGATTAACATGTTGGTCCGGATATTCAACTGGATATGGAAACACGAGTACGCGCCGAAGAGATGGAGAGAAGGAGTAGTCGTGAGCCTGTTCAAAAAGGGGGATAAAACTGACCCGGGGAATCATAGAGGGATAACCCTGCTGAGCACAGTGGGGAAACTGTTTGGCAAGATGATAGACAATAGAATGGGAGACATGTTGGAGGGGAAACAAAAGATCAGCGAAGGACAAGCTGGATTTAGACCAGATCGTAGTTGTGTAGACCATGTATATACGTTGAGTAAAATTATCCAAGGTATGAAAGATGCCGGGCGTACGACATCCTGTTTCCACAAATCCATTGCGCCAT